TGAAAGAGAAAGTCATAAGGCCTGATCTAAAATCCATTGATGTTAATAGGAGCCTTTCCATTGACTTTGGGCCAGGCCCACATAACACAAGGAGCATTTGCTATTTTCTTGTATTCTATTCATGTAAAATGCTACCAGAACCCACAGTTATGGAAAGTTTCTACATTTGTTGTTATACTTAACATTGCAAAACAGTTCCCATTATAGTCCCCTATTCTCATACACTTGTAACTTTCTGAAACATTCACTTTTTAAATATTTTTCATGCTTGGCCTATATCCAAAAATGAATTATTGTTTAAACTTTAAACAAAATCCGTGTTTGTTTGTTATGAGTGAAAAATACACATTTTCCCCACTGTAATATATTTACAGTTCCTACTTTCATTAACAAAGTCCAGCAGATGGCTTAGCCAGCCTCTTTCCTCTCTACTAACCCCAACAGGTGAGCCTGCAGGAACTGCTGGTGGGGCGGGAACTGCTGACTATCAGGAGATCCTAATTAATTATTATGCATTTGTGGGGCTTTTTATAGCAGAGTGAGCAGCATAACAACAGGTATACTGTGAAACAGCATAGGGATTAGTAGCTTCAGTAAGGATTTTAACAAAGGCTAGAAAAAGGCTTTCTTGTAATCAAAAGATGCCTAAATTCATTAACACAAATGTGAGCAAGGATAAAGTGCCAGATTGCTTAATAGAAGAGCTCACCCAGCAACTACCAAAAGCACTGGGCAAACCGGCACAGGTAAGCAGAAAAGGTTCAAACAATTACTGTATTTTTAATCTAGGGACAATGTAGTATATGCTAAAGTATTTCCATGTGTTCTTTTCTGGATTAAGACATCTATTGTTACTTCACTGAATTCCTGAAAAATGTAACAGCATTTAGAACCTTCCATTTGCGCACGCACCCCCCCCCACAAAAAAAAAAAAACAATTCCAGGCCTGAACAGCCTGTGTATAACATTTAAGATGACTCATAAGAAAAGAGAATAATTCCCTTAATGTGGAAACCATAACAATTCCCTTTTAATGTACATTTTTCTACAACTAATATACATACTGCATATGAAGTCCTGAGATCTGGATTGTAGTCCCAGTTCTGCCATGGACTTTCCTGACTTTTTGGCATTAAATATTCAATCATTATGTTGCACTGACATGGAATTTTGCATGGAATTTGTTTTTAAATCAAGAAAAATGGACTGACTGCAAATTAAAATAAATGGACTCCAATGTGCAATTCAAATAAACTGACATGCCACTGCTGAAGTCAACAGAATTGTCCCTACTAATACTAATTCTGGATTTGACCCAGCGTCTTTATGTGAATCTTTCCATGTATACAGGATGACAATTGAAATAAATGTAAAATTCATTTCAGTGGGCTAGATTCTCATCAAGCCAAGATGAGAATTATTCAGATCTGTCAGCCCAGTGTAAATCTAGAATACAGCCCATTGTGTGAAGTTCCCAGTGCATACTCACTGCAATTTTCTGAATGTATCAATGTGCTTTCTGAATGTGATTTTCCAGCAATATTTTCAAAACATCTATTATTTCTAAACCAAGACCACCAAAATCAGTTGTGGTGTAAGTGGGTGCAAACATGGAGCTGAACCTGTTGTACATCAGGGCTAGATTTAAGCCAATATTTTCAGAGGCATTTTTCCACTTTTGCGGATTAAATCCATGACAAATCTAAAGTTTTAAAAAGAAACCATTTTTCAGTTATCTGAGCAGGAAAAACAGCATCTAATGTTTCTTAGAACATGCAAACATCCTTTTCATATTTTTGGAAGAGGGGTAAGACATTTATTTCAGTATTGTCAAAACAGGATGGGGAAATAAGAAATATGATCTAAACATAAATAGGTAATTAAACATGTTAAGTGTCAGCTTTCGAATTGAAGTGTAGCTTTTCCCTGAAAAGTGACTTTGTAACAATGGTATAAATGGGGCTAATATTCACTGTATGTGACGCCATGTGAGATTTGCTAAGTTCAGTCATTTTTCCAACTAACAGCCCAGCAAACTCAACTTGGACTTAGAGTCAAGCTGAGCATTCTTCTTCTCACACATCCCAGCACTAAGATATTGCAAGTCAAATGTTGCCCTCAGTTACACAAGTGCAACCCTATTGCCTTCATATTCTGATTTCCATTTCTCATGTGCAACCTCACTAAAAGATGATGGATTTGCAGAGGTGTCAATGAGGTACTAAACCATGGCCTCTAGTATCTTTATTTCTGGTGATAATGTACAAGAAAGAAAGAACCCAGCCTGAGTTTCAGGACCCAAGTCTCTGGCTGAGTTTGCACTGCTGGCAGTTAGAAAAGACAACTTTTTGTTTGCAGGCTGACAATTTTACATGCAATCAGAGAGATACAATGAACATGAGACCATAGAATTAAGGCTGGTTGAAAATTTTCCATCAAAAAAAATTTTTTTTAAATGAAAAATTGGAGTTTCAACCAACTGAATTTCCATGGAAAATGTCTGTTTTATATGGAAGAGCTTGATTTTTCATCAGAAACTGAAATTTTTAATTTTTTGACCAAAAAAAATAAATTTTTCCACGGGGTCGGGATAGAGATGGCATTTTCTGCCCAGCTCTACATAGAAGGTCACATTTAGAGAAGAACCAACTTTAATATCTCAGCCAGTGCCTCCGACTGAGATGTGGCTTTCCATAGCCACATACTGAGACCTCAAATGTGGTGTGAAAGCAGATGGAAGCAGAAACTGGATGGTGAGGGAGAAGAATTGTTATTCAAACACAACTGAAATAGTAATGCAAAACTTTTTGTATAAACATGCTCCTCTTTCCAGAAGCAGCTCTTCTTTAATACTGAACGCTTAGAAAAACCAAACTATTTTCAATGTGGAAAAGGAAATAAATGCCTTCTGTACAATGCAGTACAGCCAGCCTCTGTCCCAGGTGACTACATGTAAAACAGCAGTGTTTAGGAATCAGAGGTTGGGGTTATAAGGGATTCTCTTGCATTTCCACAGAATTGGTTGGGTAAGGACTGATGGTTTAATTGCTGCCTGTGCTTCACTGATAGGCAGCCACTGGGGGAGGCAGTGGGGAGGAATAGAGTACATGCTTACAACATTTGATAGGAAGTTTTACCGTTAGAATTAGTGCTGTGTAAGTTTTTACTACAGATGTTTGAATTCATGGTAAATAATATTTGCTGTGAAGTTGGGCACTCTCTCTTTATCTGACCAGCTCAACGTTTTAACCATTGTTGTTAGTATCAAATAACACAGTCCATCAAGCTTCTGCTTTGCATAGATTCTTAAGACTGCAAGACCAGAAGGGACCACTCTGATTATCTAGTCTGACCTCCCATATAACATAGGTGCTAGAACTTTCCTAAAATATGATCTTTTTAAAAAAGAAATCCAACCTTGATTTTAAAACCGCCAGGGATGGAGAATCCGCCAAACCCTTGGTAATTATGCAAGCATCTTGCATAAACACAGCTTCTTTGGAAGCACCATCAAGCAGTAAGAGAAACAAGGAGACACTAGTATATACATTCTTGCTGCCTCCAACCAAAGCTGACCTGCTAGATAATAAGTACAAGTCATAAAAGGCAATCATTCTTCGAGTTTTAGCGAAGGTAAATAAAGAGCATAGCGTGTCTCATTACAAGCTTTCTGGTCATGTCCTAATAGAAGTGATTGGAGTACCCAGTACCAAACTGCTCTCTGCCTGCCTCATTACCAAACCCATGGGGACTTTTTAGCACACAAAGATCCATGACTGCGGCACCGACATCAAGGTACTAACACACCACTTTTAAACAGCTATTGCTCTCAAGAGCTGTTGCAAGGATCTGTTTTCTTCACCAACACCAAAAAGCTGCTGGGAATTGCATCAGATGTTTACTGAAAGACTGTTCGAGAAGTTTATATGAAAATCGAGGCACAAGTTGCCTGTTTATTGAATTTAAAGAAATGGCTACGAAACTGGTTGGTGACATTCTCAACTTTTTCAGGTCAGAGTAGACTGTATTCGTCACAATTCATCACTCAAAACTAATTGGTGGCACTATCGTCCACATTAATATGCAAGTGAAAGGTGTAAAACATTTCCATAATTTAATAAAATAATTTAAAAACACGATCTACCCTCTCCAGTCCCTAAAGCAGCAGCAGCTTTCATACACAGCTTGGTCAAGTACTGTACCACACCGACACCTTTTCATTAGCAGAGGCGCATTTTAGAAACTTGGATTCCCTATTCCATTCTAGGAAGATATATTCAAACAATAGAAGAAAGATGCCAAAGCTTGCAAGGTAGGATTCCCTCAGAATGCTGTCTGTACAATTAGGGTTAGATAATGCTACACCACCCATTGTAGTAGTGTGTTAGGGGTGTTCTTGACCAGGATTTTGATACTAGTAATTGAAATTGAGCATTCTAACACTTCATTTGTAATCTGATTAAGTTACCAATAGTCACCAGGTGTGGGACCTTCTGCTGTGATGGACTAATTCCTACCTGTAGCTCATTTTCCACTAGTCTCACCTTCCTTTCTAAGACTCAGTTCTTTTAAAACCAATTGAACAAGCCAATCTCATGACTAGCTAGCACAGTACCATTGGAAATACTTAAATATTAACTTCACTCTCTGATGGGCACAATTGAGTCAATTCAGTGAGCCAAATTCATGCCAGGTGTAAATCCAGGAAATTCAATGACATTACACTGGGAATTAATTTGCTTACTATATCCCAAACTACTTATATTTTCCTCCCAGACCGTGCCCTTTTCTCTTACAATTGAAAACACTTTCCTCTCCATCTCCTGAGGTCATAATGTCAGTATCATTTTCAAGTTCTCTTCGCTTTCTTCCACATTCAGGCTTTTGGTAACTCCTGCCAGTTTCCCTTCTGTATCCTCACCAAAGCCAATCCTTTCTTCTCCATTCCTATTGCTTAAACCAGAGTACACAGCAATGGTCACTCTTATGTTTTCTCTGTAGAGTCTCTTCCCCACCACTCTAGCTAGAAGTCCATTAAATAGAATGAGAATTTGCATCCTCAAAATTTGCAGTGTGATTCCCTAGAAACATCCTTTCAAGTCAATAGAGTGTCAGGGCACGCTATTTACTCTGCTGCTATGAATTGGCAGAATGCTGACTGACTGCATGTTGTTCTACTGAGTCAAACTCTCTACCTCATGAGATATTCATAAGAAAAAGAATAAGTTAATTACAAAACATCATCCAGTCTGAGTTTCAAGCTACCCCAGGAACCCTGTGCATGGATCTTGATCACCCTCATGACATTTTACTCCCCAGTCTCCCAAGCAGCCACACTTCTATTGAGCTCCTGTGCAAGGGGAGGAGGAGGATCACCTGTTAACTCTTTGCTCACTGGGAGCTATTGTTCCTGCACAGACATACTAGAGAAACAACCTTGATGTTTCTGGTATTATGATCAGAAATGAAAAAATTAACAAAGTTGGTATGTAATTGGCCATAATTAAGCTTTCAATTTTACACCCGAAAGATAAACCGAGGGCATCTTCCCTTCCTTAGTAGTTTTATCAGTTTGATTGCAGAACCAAAAAAGACAAGTGTGTAAGGAGGACGTATGTTCTCAGATCAATTCCTCTATGTGCTGATTTTAGAAGAGAAGGGGTGGGCATTTGAGTATATACATAAAAGGAAATAAGGAACATTTAACTGAAGCTTTAATGTTTCCTTATTCTTTTTAATAAAGATCTTTATTTTATAAAAATAACAAAGCTTTAGCTCTCTGTGGCTATTAAGTGAATGATGCACTTTCAGAAGCCTTTCATGATAGCAATCCAGTTCCCTATGTAGTGGCAGAAACAAGGGTTGAGATGTAGGCAGGAGCAGCACCTTTAAAGGCAAGATGAGGTATTTGAATTTGATGCAGAAACAGACAGGAAACAAAATGAACAGATTGCAGGTCAGGGGACATGGGAAGTAGGCACCTACACCCAGAGCTTCAAATGTATTTATGCACCTAAATCCCATGGATTTCAATGCAGGTTAGGGAACAAAATACCTTTGTGGATCTGGGCCCTGGACACTTTAGAAAAATCACATTAGATGCCTAACTGCATCATTAGGTACCCAAATGCCTTTTGAAATCTGGCCCTTAGTGACTTTTTGAGAACAGTTCCAAAGTGTGTATGTCAGATAACATCGTGCAGCTTCCCCCAGCAGCAAAAGTCTTTAGAATGGTGCATTCTAGTCTCAAGTGATGTGCACTAATTTTATTATTTTTGGTAGGGGAGGGTGTAAATCAATTAACCCATCACTCCACATGCTTCCCTTCATAGTCTGCTGCTGTTGGCATTATGGGGAGAAAAGCATGAGAAGGGAGTCTGTGCCTTCTGTGTTTCAGAGTAAAAGTTTAGGAATAAAATGGATACCTTAACACAGGGATTTCTTTCCATGTCTCTTGAGAGAGTTATCAGCACCATAATGTGCCAGGAGTCCATCTTACAAATGTGTGCTTAAGTGAGACGTCCACAGCCCACACTTCAGTGCTCAAGTTTCCACCTAGGGGGCTACAGGTGGGATTTTCAGAAGTACTTAGTATGGGTTTGGCACTGCTCCCATTAAGTTCAATGGGAGCAAAGTTGACCACCATAAAGCATTTTTGAAAATCCCTCCTGAAATTCATCCCACTGTAGAGGGCAGAAATGGCTCTGTTCCACTTAAATTCACACTTTCATTTTAGTCAGATGACAGTCACTCGTGTGTGCAGAGAGGCAACACAAAGCTAGTGCACCACTTAAGCCCTCAGAATAGGGTTTAAATCCAATTTAAGTGCTAATATAAAGCACCATTGGCCCTCCTCTCTAGGCACCCCTGTTTGACAATAATCACCCATATGGGGAAGGGATGGCAGCTCAGCTACTTTTTATATTTAAACAGTTAAAATCATTTGGCTAATTCCTCCTTATAAACCTCCCACTATATTGATGCTGTATCTGAGTGTGTGTAAATAACTGGCACTCTCCCTCCTTCCCTAATTCTTGTTACCAAGGGGTTATTTTCATGGCTGGTCTAATGGACACCTGCTCCGTGGAGGCAAAATGGCAGAGCTTAGTGCCACCCATTTTCCTCTAATAGGAAACTAATCCTGATGATTCTTACATTTAATCAAAAAACACCCCACCTAGCTGTGTATTCTTTAGGGAGAGTTATGTGGGTGCGGAGGAAGAGATGTTCCATATGTGGGGAAGGAGAGCAAGGGAACTATGCTACCTCCTACAACTTAATACTGGCAAGGACAACAGCTGCTGCACAGCTGCAATGCACCAAATGCTGAAGTGCATTGCACAGCCTTAGTGTAGTGCTTTCTAAGAAAACAGTTCTACAATAGATGAGTAATGAAGGTAGCATCACCCAGCCCAAATGCTACATGCTAGAAGCATCCCTGGCTCATTAATAACTGTCCAGTTGGGTGATTAGCAGCACTATCTTTAGAAGTTTTGTATGGCACGTGTGACCAAAAGCATTGTGACTGGTTTGGGCACAGAGACCCCCTTGGGACTGTCACCTGATGTGTTGACATTACCTCTGAGCCAGTTTTCTTTGCCAGCTTGGGACTCCAGAACCCTGTCTTGTTGAGCCAGACACACTAGCCTGCTGCAACACAGACACTGAATCACACTCCCAAAGCTGCAGATTTAACTGAAAACAGCTCAGCAAGAACTCCTGTCTCCAGCACCCAGACACCCAGCTCTGAATGCAATCCAAACCCCAAAGAAATTTGCATTTACTCTGTATAAAGCTTTCGAGTAAACACAAATTGTCCACCCTCTATAACACAGATAGAGAGATATGCACAGCTGTTTAGTCCCCCAGGTATTAATCACTTACTCTGGGTTAATCAATAAACAAGCGATTTTATTACATATAAAAAGTAGGATTTAAGTGGTTTCAAGTAATAACAGACAGAACAAAGTAAGTTACCAAGCAAAATAAAACAAAAACATGCAAGTCTAAGCTAGGGTTACCATATTTAAAAAAGGACATTCCACAGGGCCCTGGCCCCGCCCCAACTCTGCCCCTGCCCCAACTCTGCCCCTTCCCGGCCCCCTCCCCTGAGCACCCCGCATTCCCCCTCCTCCCTCCCAGCCACGCGAAACAGCTGCCCGAGTGCTACCGGCTTCATGGTTTGCCGGGCAGCCCCCAGACCTCTAGACCCTGTGCCCCTGGCCGGGCGCTTCCCCAGCGCAGCCGGAGCCCGAGAGGGGAAGCACCCGGCCGGACGCGCAGGGTCTGGAGGCTGCCCGGCAAACCGTGAAGCCGGTAGCGCTCAGGCAGCTTGGCTCTTCAGCTACACAAAGCTGAGGTGTCTGGGGGGAGCAGCAGCAGCAGCCGCCGCCACCGCGGGGGAAATCTGCCTGCGGCTCGCAGCCTGCCGGAGCCACTCTAAGGTAAGCAGGGGACTAGTATTTTCCCGGACATGTTTGGCTTTTTGGCAATTCCCCCCAGATGGGGATTTGAGGACCAAAAATCCGGACATGTACAGAAAATCCGGACGTATGGTAACCCTATCTAAGCCTAATACATTAAGAAACCGATTACAGGTAAATCTCACCCTCAGATGTTCCAATAAGCTACTTTCCACAGACTAGACTCCTTCCTAGTCTGGGCCCAATCCTTTCCCCGGTACAGTCCTTGGTAGTTCCAGCTCAGATGGTAACTAGGGGATTGCTCATGACTGGCAGCCCCCTTTGTTCTGTTCCACCCTCTTTTAGAGCTTTGGCACAAGGTGGGAATCTTGTGTCTCTCTGGGTCCCCACCCCTCCTTCTTCATGGAAAAGCACCAGGTTTAAGATGGATTCCAGTACCAGGTGACATGGTCACATGTCCAGTGAGACCCCAAGCTTCTATTCTTCCCAGCCTGACTCATACAAACGCAGGAAGGCTCGCAAGTAAACAGAGCCATTTACGACCAATTGTCCTAGTCGATGGGAGCCATCAAGATTCTAAACCACCATTAATGGCCCACACTTTACATTATTACAATAAGACCTCAGAGTAATACTTCATATTTCTAGTTTTAGATACAAGAATGATACAAATAGATGAACACTCAGATTATAAGCTTTGTAATGATACCTTACAAGAGACCTTTTTCATAAAGCATATTCCAGTTACATTATATCCACATTCATAAGCATTCACATCCATAAACATATGGAGTGCAATGTCACAAGCACCCCCTGTAGTCACACCCTACACACTATTGTAACCTTTGTACAAAGTACATTTATGAGGAATCATTTGAAAACTAGATTTACTTGTCACTAATATGGTGAAATTGATGTAGAAATATTTATGTAAAGTAATGAAGTCCCCCTGTATGATGTCATTAGCATATGGTCAAAACCAGATAGCCCTGCTTAGGTAGGCAAAAGCTGTTAAACTGGCCTATTCTAACCAAAGTAATGTGTTTTTACCTTAATTTACATATAATTAATAAACAGGGTCCCCAAGACAGCAGAGGGAGGAGATCGCTGAAATTCAAGTTATTCTGTTTCCTGCCAACGAGTGGGGAAATGAGGAATCTGGTAGTGAAGGAAGCTCCATGCTCTGTCACCTACCTCACAGTTCAAGTGAGCTTTACTTGCAGGGGGAGGAGCAGGAAATCTTTCAGAATATATAGTCTAAGGAATCCTCGAAGTGGATTAGAGAACCCTAAGTTCTTTCACCTAAACACCTTTGGGCATCTGGGCGAGATCCTAACCAAGGAAGAGTCAGTCACCCTCTTAATGGAAAACCGGGGGTGAGAAAGTCCATCTTAAACAAAGCATTGAACCAAAATTTGCTAGATTAAATTTTAGATGGGTAGTTTCACTTTTATTTGCAGGTAACCCTTTCTAACTCATATTTGAAATCATATTTGTTATAAACTTGTTTTATTTTTAATCTAAAAAAATAATAATCTAGTGCTGTATTTAAACTGAACAGTTTGGTAACACCAGTTAAAGTAGCCAGCTGTTGGATATTGACTCCTTAAAAAGGGCAGCAATCCTTAATACCCCTCTGATATGTCCAGTCCTGGAACAATCAAAATGGGTTTTGGGGAAAATTCAGGGCTATGAGTGTGTGGAGTCACCATACCAGTTGTTAACCAAGGCTGGTAGAAGCCAGTGGAAATCTGTGGGATTGCAGGCAAACTCCGGGATCCAAAGCATCGGACCAGGGTTGCCCACTATATAGACAGCACATGCTTGTTGCTGTTGGTGAGCGACCCAGGCAGAGGAGCCACAGTGGCAAGGCATTGTGACGCACTTGAGGTTACAGGGCAAGGGGTGGCAACTCCTCACTAGTATTGAATGCATCCAAGAATGTAACAACAAGCTAGGGTTAAAAAATTTGTATACAAGGGAGAATTCCAAAGCACAGACTGGTATTGCAGTACGAACTGCCATTAGCTGTTAATGGGATTTAGGCACCCAAGTGTAATTTGTGCCTTTGAAAAAATCTCCCCAACAATGACAAAGAAAAACAATTTTCTTCTCACAGTATCTAGCGCTACAGATCTCTACTGATCAGCTGCTGTCCTTCCATGGCTCCAAAGACCCCTGCGCCATGTGCTTTCTCTACAGCATTGGCAAGATAGGAGACCAGGAGAACAAGGACTATTCCAAGCTGCTGTGTGATCTGATGAACAAACATCTGAAAATACCTGCAGACAGGTGAGCCTGTACTACAGTGTGCCTGATTTGTGATCTCCATATCTGTTAACTACTAACCCCAAACTACATAGCTCTTTGCATTACACTTTGTTGAACAACTTATTTGAAGACGGTAAAAAATAAATATTTAAACTCTGTATTGACAATTGTCATAATAGGAAGGGGATAACCCTTTAGCACAAATGGTAGGAGGTTCTGGTGCTGAACATCTCAGGTTCAACTAGTATGTGACCATGGCCAACTGATTAGATACAACCTGACTAACTACTAGAGAACAAAAATTAATGCTACCAGAACAGAAACTGAAGAAAAAAGGTGAAATCCTGTCAGTTTAGAAGCCATATTTTTTAAAAATAAAGGTTTGAAAAATGTAAGTAAATTTCCACTACTTCTGTTTGCTTTTCACATAAATAAAATATAAATATAAAATTAATGGAGATATCCTATCTCCTAGAACTGGAAGGGACCTTGAAAGGTCATTGAGTCCAGCCCCCTGCCTTCACTAGCAGGACCAAGTACTGATTTTGCCGCAGATCCCTAAGTGGCCCCCTCAAGGATTGAACTCACAACCCTGGATTTAGCAGGTCAATGCTCAAACCACTGAGCTATCTCACCCCCACCCCCACCCAGAATGCAATATTGTACTAGTCAATATCACTTGCTAGTTCTTATTAATTTCACTTTCAGGTTCTCATGCACTTGCATTTTCAATGCAGGATCTGGGATGCAAACAGCAGAGGAATTTTTTTTTTTTTTAAAACCTGTTTTCATCAGAATTTTTACAAAAGAAAAGCGGCATTTCTGTTGCTCTTCCTGTACGTAAGCCCAAAGAGACAAGACAATGTCTCTTTATTTAAGAGTAAATAATTTTAAGGTAAGTTGAAATGATATGTACAAATTGACAGGAAGATAAGGAGAATATATTAAGCTTTTGCAGATGCTTGACAGTTTACGGAGCATGTAAGTCAGACAGTAAAATCTGGAGAAGGCTTCAGGATTACAGGGATATTTGACACTGTAAATATGTTAGTTTCATTAAGTTTTGCAGGCTCTGTTCTCAGTATCTCTCTTCTCTTTCAGAATCTACATCAGCTACTTTGATATGAGTGCTGCCAACGTAGGCTGGAACCGTACCACCTTTGCTTAAGGCCTATGTAAAGTAACAAGTTATTCATGGATCAGAATTTTACTGAGTTAAGTGATTAGTGCTCACCATGGTTCCAGTCATACTTTCTGCATTGTGTGCGCAAATTCAAGGATCGGTGATTCCTTAGTAGCATGCTTACCTGTTGCTGCTTTAACATTCTTCTGCACCACACCTGTAAAAGAGAAGTAAAGACTTAGAAAAAAATGCTGAGTGTGAGCCTTATTACTTTTCAGAGACATGGGAAGATGGACACACTTTCTGTTGATCTGTATGAGAGGTACTTCTTAATTGTACATTAGATTTGCTCCAAGATAGATTAGTTGACTTATTAAATGTCAGCAGCAGCAACTTATCTACACAAGGTTTCACACAAGCTGCTAGTACTAGGGGGAAATTTGAGTTTTTATTGCATAGACAAAGCCACAGAAGGAGATGAGCACAGCACTTAATGCCTGATTAGATGGCAATAGAAATCTAGCCAAAGTTTAGCCCATCTGCACCAGGCACTTAGTTCTCAAAGCAATTTTAAAAGTATACTTTACAGTCAGACTTCAATGGTAGTTTTATCTGAGGAACCTGCTCGGGTTAATTCAGTTTAAAGAACCTGACTGGTCCAATTTGCCCCAAAATGTAAGCATTTGGTTTTTTTAAGCCATAAACATAAAGCCAACAGAAGTTGGTCAATGTTTGTGCAACATTACCACAGTCACCAGATTGTAAATGGCCTTCCTAGCTTTGTTTAGCTGAACGTGCAGCCAGTTAGCCTTTGAAGAAATACATATTGTCAGCTGTGGTGCAGGGTTTCTGGGTAAGTGAATTTATCACCAATAATCTTGTCTCCTGCCTGAAACCATCTAAAGATTTATGTTTGTCAGTATAGCAGCTGAAGACTGGTTTTACCCAAACAACCACAAAACATTGGACTCTATCATGAGAGCTTTTCCAATGGAAGTTTTCTTTAAACAAATAACCATCCCCCTTTAGCACCAGCTTCCAAACATTGCAGTAGTTCAGGGTCTCCAGCACTACAAACTCACTAGAAACAAGAGTTATTCCAGCTAGTTCATGAAGAAAAATACCAGATGTAAACAACATAAAAGTAGTAAAAAGTCAGTAATTTAAGCTGATTCAGGTCTTGATCTAAAGTATGTTATATTATGTATAAAAGGCATAGGCCATCCACCCTCTTCCCTCCAACACAAACATCCTTCCAGCACTGTTAGTTTCACCAACTCTGTTATCAATAAAGTTAGCCAAGGCTTTTACATGTCAACCAAACCCTCCCCCCACTTCTGAGACTCTCAGATATTAACAGACTGCACAACAAATAAAGATCTTCTTCACTAGGAGCCAGCCTCCATCTCAGTCTCAGGCTAATCCCACATCAAGTACATCATTTAAGAAAGATTCTGCGGGAGGCAAAGAAAGTTTATCTTTCTAATGATCACATCCAAAGTCTTCAGGCAGAGAGAAGGACAAGCAAGAAGTGGAAGACATAAGAGAACACAGAGACCTAGGAAAAGTCAAGGAGTAAGTAAGAGTAACTCACCACCCCCATAGCAAATAGCACCCTTTCCCACACCTAGACTCTTTACATAGTAGGCACTCTCTCAACACTGATTCCTTCACTGGAGCCAGCACCATCCTACCAACTGCAGCTCTTCTCCTGACAGCATACAAGCCATAGCTCCTCACAAACTAGACTTCCTGCAGCTATCTAAACAGTTCCTTTCCTTAGAAGCCTTCACTCTCTGTAGGAGTACCCTTCACCTGCACTCTGGTAGCCATTCATCAGCTCCAGGTGCTCATTAGAAAAATTAGCTTCCAACCACCCACCTAGGCAGTTAATTGGCAGGTGGGCCAAGATTGGCTCATTCTCCTTAAAGATGTCAGTTATAGGTAGACTGAGCTCTGACTCCCTTTAAAGGGGCCAGCTACCCTGTGACAATACATAAGGAAATGTGCTTCCTAAAAATACGTTTTAATATAAGAGTGTTCCTTTAAACACAGTTTAGTCAAGTCAGCCAGTGTGGAGAAGTTAAAAAATGAATTTAGAAACTGTGTTCTAGCTTAGGTAGAAATCTGGACTAGAACACAGCTTCTAAACTAAGTTTAGACATGCTTTTGGCCTGTTCATGCTGGCCAGTCTAACACAGTTTAAACTGAATTAGCTTGAACTGATTTTAAATTGTATTAAAAAATAGTGTGAATAACATGGCTCCCAGCCCACTTTAGATTTGGCCTTACTGCCCTTTCTTAGAATCAGTCTGCACACTTAAACTAAAGGGTAGGGTTGCACTGCAAACCCTCCCTGTATCTGTATTAGCAAAAGTATGTCCAAAATTGTACTTACACCAAAAAACATAGTTGTAGGAAGGCAGTTAGCTGCTTACTAGAAACTATGGTCACATCTACTACAAGGGGCCAATATCAGATCCTAGGATTTGGAATGTGCAGAGACAGCAAATGGACAAACCTTTTCCCCTCCCCTTTTCACCAATTGAGCAATGTCCAATGACAATAAAGATTAAAATGGAAGTTAGGAGCCTAAATCCTTCTGAAGATCTGGGCCTAACTGTCCTGCATTACATTTTTTTTTAAAAAGATGGGTGCGCTCTGCCCACTGCAGCCATCACACGTCATTAGAGCTTTGTGCCTGATTAATTTTTGTTTGTACAAATTCAAACCATTTGAGATCCCAGCATCTTTATTTCTTCCACACATTCCTTCCCAAGATGGTCATTATTATTATTTTAATTATAAAATACAGTAGAACCTCAGATTTACAAACATCTCAGGAATAGAGGTTGTTCATAACTCTGAAATGTTCATAGCTCTGAACAAAATGTTATGGTTGTTATTTCAAAAGTTTACAACTGAACATTGACATACAGCTTTGAAACTTTACTATGCAGAAGAAAAATGCTGTTTTCCCTGTTTTTTAAATAGTTTACATTTGACAGTACTGTACTGTATTTGCTTTTTGTTTGTTTGTTTGTTTTGTTTTGTTTCTGCTGCCGCCTGATTTTGTACTTCTGGTTCCAAATGAGATGTGTGGTTGACTGGTCAGTTCATAATTCTGGTGTTCATAACTCTGAGGTTCTACAGTATCTAGTGATGCTTAGGAAAGAATAAAAGACTCAGGTCACATTTTAAAATGCATGCTGTGTATCCAAAAATGAATGATTAAAACTGTGTGTGTATGTAACATATACACACTCCAGGTGGGTTACACATGCACATGGGCAGCTTTAGTGAACATGCAAGCCCTTCATCTGAGATCCAAACAGAGGGCCAAGTATTGCCCTCCATTGTACAGGGGAAACCTCCCCCCAAACCTGCCAAAGTGGAGAAGAGTACTTCCACAGCATCACCAAAGACCATAGATACTCTCCATGCAAGAACTGCAGGATGGCTGGGGTTCTATAGTTTTGGGGTTGGCAGGCCAGGGAAGGTATGTGAGAACGTTTGGGGTGCAGTCACTGGCTGCGGCATGATCCCCTGTATTGCATGAATTCCCAGAAGCAACACCCTTCCATTCCTGCAATCCCTCAGGGAGCTGGAGGTAAGAGAGGAGGGAGGGAGATGATTTATGCAACTGCAGGGAATAATAGGGACAGTGTGTCCTTTTTAAAAATAGCATTACTAAAACATTTTAAAACATTCCCCATGTTCTTAGCCCAGACCCTGCCATCTCATTATTTATTGTAAACTGTTTTTCTGGACCATTACTGTAGGCACATTAGCAGGGGTCTATGCTCAGTTGTATCATTATTTACATATTGGCAGGTTTTCTACAAATATAAGAACCAAGTAATTTTTCAATTGTGCATGTGTGTGTGTGTGTGTAGGCAAGGCTGGAGGAGGTTATGAACCTGATTCTCTGTTGCCCTCCATTTTGAGAGTCATTTAACCAGTGTAAATTGGGGGTAAAATGCTACCGTTCTGATTTAGCAGCATTTTACCCTCTCTTTGCACTGAGGTAAATGACTACACAAGGTGCAGGGCAATCTACGTGCATCACAGCACACAGCCCAGCAGAGGGCTCATCGCTTAAGCAGCCTTTGGCCTGTATATAAAGTAGCTTCACTTCATCCATGAGCCAGGATTAGATAGACCACTTCAGCGTAATTCAGTTCAAACAAGAAAACATGGTATGGAAATCATAGCATTGAGAAGAAATGGATCATTGTCTATTTAACAGTCAAAAGCGAAGGAGAAGAATTGAAGAACTAACTCATGCCAGCAACACAGAATTATAAACCATGGTTTGCATTATGTGACAGGAAAAAACCAGACAAAGCCAAATACACATTTATATCAAAAAATGCAGAGGGATGCCATTGATTCTGCAAATAAAAACTCATCTTCAGAACAGGAGTTGTGTCTTTTTTTGGCCCCATCCTGCAAACATACCTGTGATTAATGTTACCACCATGAGTAGTCCCATTGAAATCAGTGAGACCATTCACAAGCATAAGTCTTTGCAGGATCGGGGCCTATGTTCGTACAGTGCCTTGCACAAAGGGGTATCAAATCCTTATGAGAGCCTTTGGGTGTTACCATAATATAAATATTTAATAATAATTATTAATAATAATATAATATAATAAAGTAAATGACTGAGCAAAGGAAGAAATGGGAAGAACTCTGTAGGGAATCTAGGGGAGAGGGGAAACTATAAAGACATTAAACCCAGTAGGTGCACCAGGAATACGCTTTAACTGTATGTTTAGTTGCCAAAATTATCTGCAGATAGCAGCCCCCGTTTTTGAGTGCTGCTGTCCCTTTAAGAATCTGGTCCAGCACAGATCACATGAGCAGCATTTCAGAGCCCAGTCAGAGGGATTTGCTGCGGGCTCTTTTCTCTTCAGCTCCATTTTGCAGCAGCAGCAGTAGGGGAAGCAGCTGTAGGCTGAGATTAACGATTTAGTAGAAAGGGAAAGTTCTTTGCAAGGATTCAAGATGCCCATGTTTGTTGTTAACACCAACGTGAGCAA